TACAAGGGGGGGGGCAGGGTTAAAAACATTTAAAAAAGGGGGGTCACTAATATTTCTATTGTGTATGCACAATGTGTGCTCACAACACTCATACAATTTACTGCTGTGGTGATGAAATTTTCGTGTTAATAAGTCAATCAAGGGGGGCAAGTGTCTCCCAAGGGGGCGAGTGCCCCCCCCTCCGCCCCCCTAAATGAAGCCCTGACATGTACGAATTAAAACACACAAAGTTCATAAAAATGCATCATATTATAATACTACTACATTGCAATATATCTGACAGCACTACAGTCCACTACACAAACACATAGTAATTTAGTAATTATCTAAATTAGATTTCACCCACTAAATAATACAAACTCACTCACTATTACCTTTTACCATTCACTACATGTACATGTATGCATGTACTATTACATGTACATGTACATGTATATCTCACTTACCATTACTTCTTTGTTTCGTTTCTGTAGTTCCCTGCAAAGACTCTCCAGTTTGTTCTTAGCAGCTGTGGCTCTGTTGCACTCAGTTTGAATGATATCACGATGCTGTATCACCTGTTAATAAGAGTAGATAATAGAAAGAATAATATGACTTCATTTCATAATAATGCCATTGTTTCTAATAGAATTTAAATCATTAGATAACATTAAAAAATTTTATTTACTGGTTTTAAACTAAATACGAATACACTAAATCAGACAAATGCATTCTTATTTTTCAATAGTTATTATTTCTTGAAGGTTGGCCATTGTGACTGTATCATTAATTCCATACTGTGCATCATGAAACATTGAGGTTTAACTGTGTATGGTACTAGACTAATAGTCCCACAGGACTACAGGAAAATCAAAATTAGAACATCAACTTTTATTATAAAAGTAAATAACAAGTAGAGCCAGCAATAGCCTATTGTTATCTGTATCCAATAGAAGAACAAAGCTATCACTAGTAAGGAATGTCTGTTAGCATAGTGAAGAATGAAGAATGATAAAATAATTCTGTGAAGAATGATAAAATAATTCTTCTCGCTTTGATGGTCAGCCACCTGTTGCTTAGCAAAATAAGCATATATATACCTTGCATCATACCATTAGGATCACATCCCCAGTCCCAGTAGGCAGTAGTAATTAGAGCAACCAGAAGATATGACTATGTCCCTTTACTATTCTTCTCTTCTCATTCTTTGCACTGCTGTTTCTGCCATTGCTCAGAATGATGATTGTTGTTCCACAATTGAGAAATCAGTAGCCAGTTTCAGTTCACAGATTAGCAGTACCTGCAATGGGCCATCAGATGCAGCAATAGCTTCACTGGAGGCAAATGTATCTGCACTACAAGAGACAGTGTCTTCACTACAAGAAGCAGTGTCCTCTCTCTCAGCTGATATCAAGAAAGTGTTAAACTATTCTTCTGATCCTTTCTTCACCTCATGCTATGATATACTACAAAAGTTCCCAGACAGTCCCTCAGGATACTATAGGATCGTTGGGTTCTCTCACAAAGTTTATTGTCACATGTCCAGTTTACCATACAATGGTAACAAAGGATGGATTAGAATAGCTCATCTTGATCTGTATAACACAAGGGACTGTCCCACTGGGTTTAGACTCATTGAAAGCAATGGTATTCGTGCCTGTGGTTGACCTTACACTAAGACTGAGAGCCATACCAGCACTTACTTTCAAGTTGAGGGCTTCAAGTATTCACAAATCCATGGAAAACTAGTTGGCTATCAGGTAGGAACTCCTGATGGAGCTCGTGGCCCTGGATTTAATATTTATTCAAAATATGTCGATGGTGTTAGCTTGACCCATGGTAGATAAGACACCACATATGGACCTTTATAGCTGGTCATGATAATGATGGTAATAATAACTACTGTCCATGTGCCAAATGGTATGCAAATCCAAGAGGTGTGCCATCATTTGTTGGTAATGATTATTACTGTGAAGGTGGGAGTCATCATACACCTG